TAGACGAAGCATGTTGAAGTAGCCATAAACCTGAAGGGTAGGAGGGAGAATATTGCGAGCCATCTCCGACGGAATATTGGACACAACGTCGAGGACCAACCAGGTTTTGGCATACCGTAGAGCAATCAGCTTCCGGTCATCCACCAGCAGGTAAGTAGTTTTGTCCAAATACGCCACGAAGAATGTCAGAACTATATCAATGGCGAAAAGTCCATTTACAATATTGTCAATTATTGCCAGAACTCCGCTGGGCGTAGGGAGAAACCCGAACTCAAAAGGACATGCCCAGGCTGTGTAGAGTACCAGAAATATCAGAAACGTCTCCCAAAATCTGCGATGCGAGGAAATCTCTGAATCATCATCAAAATGAAATTGCAACAATCTGAAAAAGTAGGAGAAACGACGATTTTAGAACCTGTAATTGTAATTGAACGGCGAGATTATATGAGGACCGAGTTTGCTTCTTCGATTATTTCGCCCATTCACGCCAAGCGGCGGCAGGATTCCGCCCGTGAGGCTGTATTGGCTGCCGTCGTCTCTCGATAAGTGCTCAAGCTCTCGCTGATCCTCTCTCCCGCATATCGATCTCCCTAATAATCCCATTTTCTTCGTTTTCTAGTTCGACATTTAGACGAAAATCCTCGAGGACGAATCCATCCCTAATTCCTAGGCCTTCTCCCGATTGCAGGTTTTTTCAGTTCAATAGTCTCTGCTTCCATTGCCATCACCTTAAACCAGCCATTATCCACCATTCGCTGCGGTTTCAATTCCTACAAATCTCCGTCTCTCTTCCACCATTCGCTGCAATTTCAATTTCAACAAACTTCCGTCTCTCCTCCACCATTCGCTGCGGTTTCAATTCCGACAAATTTCCGTCTCTCTTCTCAACGTTCGCGGGCAGAATCTCGCGCGCATTAGGGATTTCAGTTGGAAGAAAGATTGGCAGGCGGCCGTCGCTGTCGTCGTCGTCGTCCTCCTCTTCTTCAAGTGCGACTATGAAGATCAATATCAATTTCCTTAAAAAAGAACGTGGATGGAGTACTAATAAATCCAGAGCTCTGGAAACGGTTAATCCATCCATGTCCATGGCAATGATTGGAGCTTGTTTCTGAGGCTAAATCTGGATTGGCGGAGAAAGAAAATGGAAAGTGGAAATGGAGCGATGAAAGAGGAAGGGGCCCTAGCCCTAGCTCTAGCCCTCGCCATCGGCTCTCCTCTCGTTCTGGACTCCATTATTAACCACCTGAAGCGTTGTTGTTGGACGTTATGAAAGTGATATTCCAATTTCGATTTGACGTTAGCATTTGAACATGCAGGTTGCTATACGGCCCCCATTCTATTTTCTTTTTATTTGTTTCTTTTTTCATTTCAAAATCAAATTATAAATTAACCAAATAAATTTCTCTCATTTTAATTTTACAAATTACTTTTAGCTATGCTCGGGTTGACAATTATTGAGATAAATTTTATGCATCGTAAAATTGTTGTGACGTATTTGAATATACGAACACGTCATTCTTAGACTTTATATATAACTTAGCCAGTTGCAAACTCTATCAATGGGACGAGAGTCTCCATAAAAGGGTAAAATTGAGAATTTAAAAAATGTACTTGAAATTTTCGATTCTTTAATATAATTCTAGGGTTAATTATGGCAAAGAGTCGAGTGATCAGTATTAAGCTCTTCATCCTCGTTTTTTATTTTTTTAAAATATGTTGGTTTTATGTTGAATATGGATCGGTCTAAATATTGTTAAGTGGGGGTCGGGGGTTTATTACCGTTCTAAATATTGATGGTTTATTCCCGACTCTCGCATCGGTTAAATGAAGAAGAAGAAAGGGTAGATAGGTCATTTTGCCCCAACTTTTGTTTTCCTTGACTAAATTCTTATCTTATTCACCGTGCTTCTTCAAGGTTGATTGGGGAAGTTTGGGCTCAATAATATTTATTTTGGACATCAGGCCCAATAAGACAATGGGCCATGTATTGGGCCGGAGACATATGGGCCCACCCGTTTTAATATTCTAATATCGTTTTCCGTCGTCAAAATTTCATAAGTAAACTGGAGAGAGGCGAAGCCTAAGTGGGCACTGAGAAAATCAAGAGCAAGTTTTTGCGGAGGAAGAAAGAGAGAGAGAGATCGATATGGCGTCCTTCTTGCAGTCGTTCATCGACCCAAAGAAGAACTGGTTCGCTCGTCAACACATGAAAGCGCTCACCCAACGCCTCCGTAATTATGGTAAAAGAAACCCTAATTATTTGTTGTGTATTTGATTTTTTCTGCGGTGTTGATTTTGAATTTTGCTCTGTGGAGATTGATTTTGTGTGGTATTAATATTTTAGGTCTTCGATACGACGATCTGTATGATCCGTACTACGATATTGATGTGAAGGAGGCTTTGAATCGGCTCCCGAGGGAGATTGTTGATGCGCGCAATCAGCGTCTGAAACGGGCCATGGACCTTTCCATGAAGCACAAGTACCTTCCTGATGATCTCCAGGTTCTCTTCTACTATGACCTACTAGATCAGTTAGAGCCTCGCCGAAAAAACAGAAATGTGTTGGATGTTTATCATTACTGAATACCTAAATACTGCGGTTTGTTTGTGAATTTGTTTTACTATGAACGGGGAAGGAGGACGTGGTATCACGGAGTTCTATTTCAGGATTCAGGCTCAACTATACATGTTCTTAATATAACTGTTTGTGAATTGGGATCTATTAGTGAGCTTGATGGTTTAAGTTCCTATGATTTTTCATGGACTTAGGGAATTAACTTTTAATTATATTGGGTTGGGCTTAATCTTTTTCCCCTACTAAGTACAGCATGCTAAAATCTAAATCAAATTTAGATGGTTGTTAATTTGAATTTTTTAACCTTCTGGCAGGCCATGCAAACACCATTCAGGAGCTATCTCCAGGATATGCTGGCACTTGTAAGTCTCTGTCTTCCATTATTTCATATCTTTCATTTACGGCTCTGTTCATACAAATAAGGAAGTTGCTCTATATTGTACTGTCAGTCGTGGTTCATGAGTTTGAATATTATGCCTGTATTTGGGACTTGTTGGTTTTGAAATTATCTACAATCTGTCAGTTTAGATAACATCAAGTTTTATCTAATTTTCCCATTGAGGTTTCTTGTTCTGTCCTCTGTTGTCCCTTTCATGATTTCAGGTTTCATGATCTAGATAAATATTAGCTTCTGGGTAATATGTATAAATCCTATATGTGTTTTCTTTTGAAGCAAAGACGTGATCTGTGTAGGACCTTGTTTGTGGTTGAATTTTTTTTCTGTTCTGATTATGACATTTCTCGAGTGAAATAATCCTCGTACATATGGAGTAAAATTTGTGTAGGTAATTAAAAGTTTTGGTTTAAGTCCGGATTCTTTAATTTTCATTATCCAACAAGGATGGAGGGATGATCGGGATTTAAAAAAAAGACAGAGCGAAACGTGATCATTCGGTGCAAATTAGTCTGCCTCGTTTCTTCTACTTGATGTGCCAGATTGTTTAAGATTCGTGTCTCGCTTTAGATGAATGAAATTTTGTGTAAATCTAATCGATGTAGTAGTAGAAAGTTGCGCAACATGTTCTGCTGCATCGTTTACAGATTTCTTTGATTTGTTGAATACTTCTCGAGACTACTGCTGCTTTCTTCTTGCTGTTGACCTATTTTATTCAGCCTAATTTCGTCTGATGACTGCTAGAGTGTAATTTCGTCTGGCATGGGTGTTTATTAAATGGGTGAAAGCAGAGTTCATGAAGCTAAAGATCCTTTTTTTCTTTTGTTTTGCAGGTAAAGAAGGAGAGAGCAGAACGTGAGGCATTGGGAGCATTGCCTGTTTACCAGCGCACCATTCCTTAAGCTATTTTTGGTCTTGGTAGTGTTATTTTTTGGATGGAGTAAATGATGATGTTTAAAAGACAGTTTCTTCCACATCTCTCCATCGATTGTTTGTTTTCCAGGTTCTGTATTTCGTTACCAAAGCTTGTTTCAAGTCATTAATATGATACATAATAAATGTGAAAACTTATTTTATCATCTTCTCCATTGGAATTAATGCGAGATTACTCCTTTTGTTGGTTCATTGTTTAGTCTGTTCTCTTGTTACAGAATATAAAACTCTTGTTTGTTTTGGATTTTTAATCCTATTTTCATGCCTATAGTGATGACATTGGAAAGCAAGTAGCATTTCTTCGATGACAACATCGAACATCCCGTGAGATGTAGATTTCTTCCTCACCAACAAACCAGGTGCATACTACCACTATACTCGAAAAGCTCAAACGTAGATAGTGTTTCTAAACTCGAAAAGCTCAAAAGCAGATAGGTTAGGTTATGAAATATTGAGTACGTTTTTCTCATATGTGAGCTCGGGTATTAAATTTATTTGGCAAGTTAGATACCTGAGCTATTGAGATCGATTGGTGTTAGCTTACGCCTGACTAACATGATTCCTACCCGAACCCCTCAAACTGACTTTCGTCGTTCTTTTTTCTTATTCCACCTCCTAACCTAGTATCCACTATACGAGGCGTCTATAAAATCTCGGGGCCTCGTTGTTGGATACACTAGTTTATGAATTAACCAACAAACGAATCAAAATGAGGCATTTGATTGTTTCAAGTTGCCTAAATTTTTTGGATATTATCACCCACGTCGAAAATACAAATATCAAAATAGAACGAGCATTAAAGTACATGAGCAAAATAATATTAAAATATTAAAATAAGCTATTATATATTAAATAGGGTTTTTTTAATGCAAAATAAGTACATTGAATACTAAATAATAAATTGGACATTTTTTATTTAATAAATACTTTTTTTTTTTATTTTGAAAGTTTATTTATTTTTTAAAAAACAAAATATAAACTCTAGAAGTATTTTGATAATTTAGTCTATAAAAAATGTTAAAATGTTTGTCTAAAAATAATGATAAATAAATAAATAAAGCACTGTGTGTGCGTACTGCAAAACTGTGTCGTTTTAAAGAGAGTCCGAAGGTTTATCATCTTGCCGCCTGATTTGGTCGAACAGTGTCTGTCGACATAAGCAACTGATGGCTCTTTCAGCGCCGGTGAAGGCACCGGAAGCACTTCTAGGTTCGTCGTCGATTTCTGGCAGGGTTAGCTTCTTCTTTCGCCGGCAGTTTCCATCCAACCTTAGTCTACTGCGTCTTCCTCCGGTTCGTCACACTCTATCGATTACATTTGCTCGCCGTCGGAACCAGAATTCATCAGTCGGTCCGTCTTCATCGTCTTCGAAAAAAAAGAAGGTACGGTCCTAGAACGCATGGTGATCTTATTTTGGTAATACATAGATTGATTGTGTTGCAAAGGCATGTGCGTGGAATTTAGCTTATCCGAAACTTTTCAATTTGTTACTCTGCTCTTTTTTGCAGAGAAATTCGTTTCCGAAAAAAACTAGGGATGAGGCGGATGAAGAAGAGGATGCTCTTGAGTTGTTGTTTAGTCAACTGGAAGAAGATCTAAAAAATGATAAGCTTACCCTGGATGATGATGATGATGATGGCGAAGAGGATGAACTTAGCGAAGAGGACCTTGCCAAACTAGAGCGCGAGTTAGGGTTAGCACTTGGCATCGATGTTGACGAAGAAGAAGAAGAAGAAGAAGAAGAAGAAGAAGAAGAAGATCTCGTGGATACCGAAGAAGAGGAAATGCCTGTGAAACTTAAGAACTGGCAACTTCGACGACTAGCCATGGCTTTGAAGAAAGGTCGCCGTAAAACTAGCGTGAGTTTTTCTACCGTCGAGTCTTGTATGCAATATCAGTCACCTGTGGATTTCGTTGTGATTGATTAAGAAATGGGTTTGGAAGCTGGAAAGACTGATACTCAAATGAGATTTGAGCATGCCAAACCTTGTAGCGTCAAATTGGGAGCGTGAGCGAGAGGGAAAATAGGGAACACGAGCAAGCGAGGCCAATTGGGAGCGAGAACAAGAGGGGCAAATAGGGAGCGAGTGGGAGAATCTACATAGAGAGTCTTGCACTGCTGAAGGCTAATGCAAGATTATCTTGCTGAAACTCTGCTAGTAAACTACATAGTTTACTTTGCAAGATTATCCTGCTGTAGGCTAATGCATTCTTTACTTTGCAGATCAAGAGTCTTGCTGCTGAGCTTTGTCTTGATCGGGCTGTTGTTCTTGACTTGCTTCGCGAACCACCGCCACGTCTTCTGATGTTGAGTGCTTCTCTACCAGATCCGCCCACACCATCAAATCCAGAAACTAGAACATTACAAGCTACTCGTGAAGAAGAAGAAGAAGAACCCGTAGAAGTAGATACTGCAGAAGAGGCGGAAGAGGTGAAGGTGCCTGTTCATGTCATGCAACAGAGCTGGGCTGCTCAAAAGAGGCTGAAAAAGGTTCAGGTTGGAACTCTCGAGAGAGTGTATAGAAGAACAAAGCGGCCCACCGTAAGTATAGTACCCTTCATCAGTTTGTGCATCAAAATAAGTTGATGAAATCTTTACATTCTGTGCCAGTTTTCTTTGGAAAAGGAAAAAGGAATTTTGAATCTAGAGATAAATCTATTTGTAGAGCTCTCACGTTGCCTTTTAAAAAGTGTTGTTAAATGAACACGATTAACAAATATCATCGAATGAGACGTTTAGGAACGAAATATCCATAGAGGCTAGATAAGTTTGATACTTAAATGCCTGAGAATCATTGTTTACATTTGTATCTTTGATATGGGCCTGCAGCAATTAGAGAGTCATCCCGAATAGGTCCCAAATCTCTTCTGTAAATACAACTATGATAAGCTAGGGCCATTCCCATCAGCCCGATGGCATCTCGAGGACTGACCATCTCTTAGGAATAGCAGTGTTCTACATGTTCAAGATCATGATCTTGGGTCCTAGGACAAATGCCTCACCTAGCCTTAGCTTGAAGACCTTTAGCCTTCTCATTAAACTTATTCTTTTTTATGTGCCCGTGAATTTTTCCCGCCTTACTTATACTCATGGCGTGTTCTTCATCGTCTACTAAGATTAAAAAACCTCATAAACTTAAAAAGACATAGATTATGAGGGTAGAATTCAGCAGTAGTGAAAACTTTGGCATATTATTTTTTTAGTCCAGCAATTGCTGGGTGGGATTGGGAATCAAATTATCGATCTTTAAGATGGTATAGGTCGTGCCTTATCCACCGAGCTCTACTCGGATTAATACATTGAGCGACATATTATTGTGCAATTGTTACCTAACTTTTTTCTTCTTTTGAACACCCAATACAGAACGCAATGATTAGTAGCATTGTCCAAGTGACAAATCTGCCTCGCAAAAGAATAGTGAAATGGTTTGAAGATAAGCGAGGTGAAGACGGGGTTCCTGATCAACGCCTGCCTTATGATCGATCTGCTCCTCAATCTGCCTGATCTTCGTTCTTCATCTACCAACTGCCTCCACGGTTAGCTTTCTTTAGTACTTTAGAAGTCACTGCAAATGTGCATTATCATTTGTGTTCTTTGAATTACTGAATGAGATCAAGAAAATTAGAATGAATGTGCTATCCATTCCCACATAGATTTCACTTTTTCTTGGCAGTGTGGGGAAGGTTGCCTTTGGTTTGCATGCTTAGCATGGATCTGAAACAAGAGTAGTTCAATTTCTAAACATGGTAGTCGCATCGAATAACGTTACTATTAGATATTCGAGTGATATACTAAGAAATATATTTGTTAAACCGTATATCTAGTGGTTATACGGTACTCCTACAATCTTTGTAACTTTAGTTGTAGATTAAGGATCATGTTGAGACCTCCAACTCCACCTCGGTTATTTTGATTAGTTGATGAAACCCATTATTAATGACGAAGGTTCTGAAGCTTAGTAAGCAGTGAGACTCATAAATTCACGAGTTATGCGATCATATGGTTACGTTCTTGTGAATTTTTCTTTCATTTTATTCTTCTTTTGCTAACTAGGTTATGATAATTCCTTTACCGTCGAGCTGCTTTACACCCTTCCCTCTTTTTGGAACTGAAAGACATAAATTGATAGCTTCTATCAATCGTATATTTTAGCTATTCTATTGATATTTTATTTGTTTATTTTTAAAATTCTACCTCAAAATTTGTAGTTATACATAAATTCTAAGAATAAAAGAAATTATTTAACATCACAAAACATAGTTATCCACTCATTTTTTTCCGTTTATACAACATATTTTTGCTTCAAATTTAATATTTCACGGGTTTCTTTGATACTAAACTATAATAGAAATCAACGGTTTTCTTGTGAGATTAGTTGAAATGTTTTGCAAATTGGTCTAGATGTTCACGTATATAAAAAAAAAAAAAAAAAAAAACTACGAACTTTTATGGTAAAAGATTTAGCTATCATCGGTAAAAAATGATTATTTTTTTGAATGATTGGTTATTTATTTGCTATAATAAGTTAAACTATGTTTGTTTACATTTAGGTAATGAAATATTAAAAAAATATAATTTTAATATAAATATATAAATTATTACTTAAAAGGTTTGAACAACAAAATATAATTAAAATTTTAAAAATAAACAAATACAATTTAAGTAAAATTTGAATTTAAAGCTAGAACTATTTATCCCCGACAAAATGGAATTCCCACTCAGCATTGGACGGGGCATAGGGCGATGATAGAATCCCCGTGTCGATGGGTCACCCACCAGTAAAATATCGCCACGTCAATTCAATACCTGAGTTTGCAAACGCAACGGTGAATCAGGAGTCAAAATTTGGTCAAACCTCTAAAATCTTTCTTTCTTATGTCATTCCATATTTCCTTTTTTAAAAAATAAATTCCTTCCCACTTTTTTTTGGGTCTCTCAAAAAGGGAAATAATTGAAAAAAATAAAGAATAAAAAATAAAAAAGGAAGGTCTGATTCAGAGATATATCCATTGCGATCTGAGTACTTCACACTCTCATGCTCCCGCCATTTCCTTTGCGCTGCACGGACCGGGTAAGCTTTCGTTCTCTCAACTCTGTTTGATTCTTCGATGGCTCTTGCGGTTCGTAATCACGGTGTTTCCTCCAGATCCATTTCCTAATTTTTCCATTAATGAGTTTAGTTCATCTTGCTTATCTTTGATGATGCGTGCGTTGTTGGATTTGGATGTGAAATTTGCTCGATCTTCATTTCTTCTGCTATTTTTTTTTTTTTTTTTTATAATTTGAGTTCATCACGAGCTGTTTGTAGATGTCTTTTATTTGTGTTCTATGCTATCTTCTTTTAAATTTTTGGTGGTTCAGTCTCGAAGAGTTGGTATTTAATTGCTATTTAATTACGCGTGTTGCTATTTCTATGCATGTTTATGTGTGGTGGTTTATCGTGGGGTCTAGAAACCATGGAGAGTTCATTTACTCTGGCACTACCACTCTTAATGCTTCACGTTTTTTTGCCGAAGTGGATCTAAATCCAACCATCTAGTTTTGGTTTTTCATGTCCAAGCAACAAGAAAGTTCATTGAATACCTGTTGCATTTTGTCGCGAAGAAAAGTAGTGTGTCTTGATTATTAATTGAAATAAGAATCTATGGGAGCTTTGTGTTCGGGAAAGAGTGGATTACAAGTGGATTATGGATTTCTGTGGTGTTCTGTGTAGGATTTGAAACGGATATTTATGGGAGCTTTGTAGAGATAGCTAAACGAGAACTGGGTAGTCTGACACAACGATGCAAGACCTTAGAGCCAAAATCAGAATTACTGTTCTTATAGCTGCAACCGTATGGATCAGCATTGCTGCTACGTATGGAATTCTAAAACCAATTGCTAACGGTTGTATTATGACGTATATGTATCCAACATATATTCCAATTTCTTCACCGGTGGGCTTAGCGTCAGAAAAATATGGGGTGTATTTGTATCACGAAGGTTGGAAGAAGATTGATTTTAAGGAGCATCTTAAGAAACTTAATGGAGTTCCAGTCCTTTTCATTCCAGGAAATGGAGGTAGCTACAAGCAGGCAAGGTCTTCTTCTTCTTTTATAATATGGATTTCGCTGATTTTATGTTTGCTTTATGTACTTGATTGAAAGTTAGAAATTGATTGTAATTTTTTTTTTTTTTTATAATCTGTAGTAGTTACGCTCTCCTTTTGGAAAATATATATTTTTTATAACAGGTGCGATCCTTGGCAGCAGAATCTGATAGGGCTTATCAAGGAGGCCCTCTCGAGCACACTTTTTATCAGGAGGCTTCCATAGGAAAGGTAGGGGGTGGGGCAGACACTAATTTGGATGGCCTTCAGTTGCCTGACCACTACACGCGTCGGTTGGATTGGTTTGCAGTGGATCTTGAAGGTGAACATTCTGCAATGGATGGTGGTATACTCGAAGAACATGCAGAATATGTAGTACACGCCATCCACAGGGTATTACTGTTAAAGTTTTGAAATATAGTTGTCCAACAGATTACATCATTTTCTAGATTTTTTTCCTCTTTTCCACAAAATAAAAAGGGAGGATGGGTGCATGAATGTGTTATATGGTTGGAAGGAATATTGTTCTATCATTCTCCCATTGTTCATTAGCATGTTCATCATTGATGGCACTCATTTGTTATTTTCGGGCTTCTCCATCCATTCCAGAAAATTTAACTGGAAAAAGGGACAATGGAACTTTAAAAATAATGTAAGTGGTGGAGGCAGTCTCAAATAGAATGTATCAACATCTCTATAGGAAGCTATGAAAAAATGAAGCAAGAATATTTCTTTATTTTTAAATTAGCTTGCTGGAATTATATTTTAACAGATTTTGGATGAGCCCAGCTCTACCAAGAAACATATTTGATATTTTATCCATGATTTTCATTGGACACCCTTTTAAGGAAAATGTGAAAACACTTTAGATGGCTTTGAATCGTTCCTTTTTTTTTTTTTGGTCTCTTGGTGCACAAGAAATGGGCGGATCTTCAACGAAAATTATGTTTCTTTAGAGGGCTTCCTTGGTTTAACTCTCTTATTGGTGCAAATGTTCACACCCTTTTACTGATTATAGTCTTTCTATATTATTAAACAATTGGAAATCCTTTTTGTAACCCAAAATTGGTGGATTTTTCATGTAATTTATCAATGAATTATCTTTGTTTCTCTCAAAAAAATAGAAAAACAAAAATAAAAAATAAAACTAATATCTTGCTGGATTTTGTTCTGCAGTCTTCATGATTGACTTGAATCCAGATGTTAGCTCATTCCTGTCTTTTCCTTCATGCAAGAATAATGCACATAATATCTGTTATTCAGTCGGTTTCGATTTTATTCTAATATAAAGGTTTCATGGTGTGGGTCTGTGCAACGAATATTTTGTTAAATTCTCCACTTGGTTGCCAATTTTCCTTGTTATGCATGCAGATTTTAGATCAATATAAAGAATCTTTTGATGCCCGGGCAAAAGAAGGGGCTGCTGACTCTGGAAGTTCGCCTAGCAGTGTGATATTGGTTGGCCATTCAATGGGTGGGTTTGTAGCTAGAGCTGCAGTCGTGCATCCCAGACTTAGAAAATCAGCCGTTGAAACAGTTCTTACACTTTCTAGCCCTCATCAGTGAGTTACACTTAGATGATGCTGAGAGCATTTTTGATTTGTTAATTTCATGCTTCATTTGGGTTTCACATGTTTTTCAGATCACCTCCTCTAGCACTGCAACCATCTTTGGGTCGGTACTTCACTCGTGTAAATCAGGAATGGAGGAAGGGCTATGAGGTTCAAAAAACTCGAAGTGGGTATTTTGCATCTGATCCTCCACTTTCACATGTTGTGGTAGTTTCAATTTCCGGGGGTTATAATGATTACCAGGTATATTCACAACCGATTAATGCAATGTGGGACCTTTGTCTTGAATTAACTATCATTTGGTCATTTAGGTTCTATTAAAACAACAGTATTTTTCTAATGCATATCTCGCTTGAATATTTATTAAAATGCATATTTGGCTTAGATACATAGACTGTATCATTTAACTTTTGATTTTGATGAAGGATTGTGGCCTTGGAAATCAGAAAGTCCAAAAGTTAACATTTAGCTTGGTGGGTCTTGGTTCATTTTGGAGGGCTTAAATATAACCGTACAAAAGAAACATCCTTGTTCTAAAGCAGAGGAAAGGCAAAAGCATTTCTTTTTCCAAGTATCCTTAACAGTAAGTGTTGGGAACACAGATTTTCAGGCTCCTGATGTTTCTTGGGCTTTTGACAAACGGTAAAGGGCAGTGTTTTTCAGCTTCTAGGTGGAATAAAATTTAAGTGTAAAGCCAAGCTTTTATGGGTTAATACGATAAAAGCTATTATTTAGGTATTTGGATCAAAAGAGATCAAAGAATCCTTGAAAAAAAATCTTTGAAGTGGAATAAAAAGGCAAGGGTAGTTCTAGTCATAAGTCACGCATCTTTGTAATGTACCGCTTCAAGTTCTTTTTGCAATTATTCTTATATTTTTTTTTTCCTGAAAAAAAAAAAAAAAAAAACAATGAACCTGGCATTGAGGTAATCTTTAGGCTGGGAGGAGTTAATTTTAGACGATGGATGAATGAATGGGACTTAATTAATTTCCTAGAGCTGTAATTATGTTTGCTTTGTGAATTGCTTTGTAGTTATAAGGGTTTGTCTGTTTATGCCATTCTGTAAAAATAGAAAATCTTTATCAAGGTTTGCTTTAAGAGTATCATGTTTCTGTTTAATTTATTGTTTTTCTTAATATTCATTGCATGTTGATTTATCCTTGTGTGTAGGTAAGGTCAAAGTTAGAATCCCTGGATGGGATTGTTCCTCCTACACATGGCTTTATGATCAGCAGTACAGGTGTTAAAAATGTGTGGTTATCAATGGAACATCAGGTGATTTTGTGGTGTAATCAATTAGTTG